CTTGCACTTGCACTTTGCAGAACTTGCACTCTGCGTTACTTTTTTCGTTCGCGACGTACGGCGACGCCCGGGTTTTATAGTTATCACAATCTTCGACGCGTTTCGGTAAAACGCGAGAAACACGTTATCGTATAAATCCAATCGCGGCGCGTGTATGTATCAGCATTGTGATCGCGATTGCACGCGCGAGATTGACCTCATCAGTCCGTTCTCCTGAAAGCGCGTTGTCACTTGACACGTTACAGTACCGACTCGAGCCGCCGAAAGTTCGCGCGCGCGAGTCTGTGAAGGCGGATTGCGAGAAATCCCGGGCGAAAATTTCCGGAGTTTTTCAACATTGTCGATTACCATCGTATTCTAAGTGGGCGACTGCGCGTTTTCGGTCGTACTTTCGCATCATCGTCACGCGACGAATTAGGCTCGTAATTTGCGTGAAAATTCGCAGGTTAATTACGACTGTACGATCGCGCCGCCATGTTGTTATTTTTATATATTATTCTCGTACGCTGAAATTTTCTCGGCAAATCAAAGTCGGAAATATTTAGCAAAGAGCGAGAAGTGAGTGATCAATTCGGGAATATCGACGACTCCTGAGTGGGTCGCGAGGAATCGCCATCGTCGTTCGATAAGGTCCTTTGATTTTCCTCGCGTTTTACCGAAACACATCGAAGATTGTGATAGTTAAAACCTGGGTGTCGTCGCGCGTCACGAACGAAAAAAGTAACGCAAGTGCAAGTGCAACTTCTACAAGGAGGAAATCCAGAGTAACATCGGGCAACGGCAGAGCCACTAGATGATGAACAATTTATTTATTATTACTATTTTTACCATTAAACTCAATATAAATATTTTTTGAAATACCAATTTTAAATTTCACTATATGATTTCCATGTATTTATATTTTACAGGTTACAACTCCGCTGCTGCGCATCGTATCGGTGAGTCTCATCAATTTTACTTAACAGGTAATAATGTTGTGATAATCTCTTTAAATTTCTTGGAGTAAAAACTGAACAATCTCATTCCAAACGAGTGAGATTCCATTCTTTTGGAGTAAAATTCCACTCTTTTGGAATGAGATTGTTCAGTTTTCACTCCAAGAAATTTAAAGAGATCATCTCCGATTTTGCCAAAACTTTACAATATTATGTATTTATAATTAAATTAAAATCCATCTTCCCTTTCTACGGGAGGACTTTTTTCCTGTTTAAAAGTGACAATTTTAATTTACAAATTCGTGTTTTTCACGCACAAAAATACACAATATCGCAAAGTTTCGGCAAAATCGGAGCTCTCCTTAAATATTACCGGAAATGTATTTTGTCAACGAGTAGCAGAATACCGACACACGTGGTACGCGAAAACGTGATCCGATACCCTGTCATCGAAGCTTCTTTGACGTGAGAGAATGCGGAAAGGGAGAGAAAATTCGCGATGCAGCAGGTCGAATGCGATCGAACTACTGGGCGTGACAGTATACCCCTGCTGCTATTGCAGGTGCAACCGGATGCATAGGTAGGATCGTGAAGAAAACGCCTCAGGATAGAGGGATAGGTACGCAATCCTCGCCCACGCGCGATCAGTCTGTTCGTTTGCCAGGAAACGCTAATACGTGGAATAAAGAGAGATGTAGATATAATATATAATATATTGTAGATATACGTAGAGAGAGAGAAACGTACAAAGTATATAGAACGGTAGATGAGAAAGGTCGAAAAGGAGGGAGACTAGAGACAGAGCGTGCGGGTTCTATCGCTGGCTACGCGATCGCGCACACCTGTGCCAACGTAGCACGGCGTCGCATAACAGGTGGAAAGGTAACGGAGAGACACACCGGGAGGAAAGAACGAGAAAGAGAGAGAGGGGGAGAGAGAGGGAGATCCCCACTCGACCCCGAGGCTGCCAACTCGAACATTACTATACGCCCTCCACGATCCAAGAGGAGGAGAACATCAAGACTACCGCCTTCCTCCTACGTTTTCTCGTGGTCCCTCTATCTCTCCTCTCTATCGCCTTTTTACTCTCTCTCTCTCTCTCTCTCTCTCTCTCTCTCTCTCTCTCTCTCTCTCTCTCTCTCGTTTCTATCTATCCCGCACGCTCGTTCCTCAGCTTCTCCTGCTGGCCTCCCGCATCTCTTCTTTCCTTCCGACCTCTCCTCTTTCTCTTTACCCCGCTTTACGCTTGTCCACGGTGCCTCCGTTGCACTTCCGCTTTAACGTCGACTAACTCGAAGCGCCTGGCGCGCAAACGCCGCCGACACAAACGCATTTTCACTCTGCACTGATGAAATGGCGGACGAAAGAATGTTCTCCACCATGAATTCGCGTCTATGAGCCTTCTTGTTGAAGATCGATCTTTTATCTGAATGATATCTTTTGTGGATCACCTCCGATTATAATCGACCGATATAATCTACGTATATATTTTAATTATCGTACGATCGGTTCATCAGACGTATTAATTGATTATTGTATAGATAGGCAACGGGCAGGTTTATTTTGAAAACTTTTCAGATTAAAAACATTTTTTAACTCGACTCGTTATATAATAATTAAAATATATCGGTTAGAAAAATGTGGAGATTCGTCTCTCATTACCCGAGTATTTATTTTTTCTCTACCTTCCTTTAGCCCTCCTCTCTCCTATCATTAAAACGTTATTGCTGGTATTATACTGCGGATTTCAATTATTAATGTAATTGCAGATCGACGATTTCTAAATGATTCCGCGAGTTGTCCCTCTTTCTTCTTCTCTCTCGCGGAGTTAATTAGCTAATTATCTAACATTAACTGGGGGGTGTTCTTACACAATGAGCTATATTTACAAACGTTATTAAAATCACTACATTATTGATCGTTATAGATTCCACAAAAACGGAATATATTTTAGATTCTCAAAAATATTTTCTCTTTTACAAGAGCTTACTTTAAAAAAAAAATACAGTGATAAATGTGTAACGTGTTGCAACCAAGCATGTTTAAAAGTCCAGAAAAACATTTTTATAAACGAGAAAACTAAATTATAATTTTAAATTTGGTTAAACCTAATTCAAAAAAATTATTTTGCTTTTTTACGGAATATAATTTGTTAATACAAAATTAAAAAATTAAATTTATATCTTAATCATTTTTCCATTTTCAATAAATTTTGGAAACGTAATTATTGATTCGTTTACGGGCATAATAGCCTGTTTATTATCAGGAAAAAATCCACGCATTTTCATTTTGTTGTTGTTATGTACACCTTCGTTTCTCTTGTATCTACATAAGTATGTGATTATATGTCTGCGATTTTCCTCGTGTACCGCGACATGGGTCGCCCGCGAGATCTGAAAAATATCTCTCGAGGGTTTCGTTGTTTACGCTCCCGAATTCCGTATTATATTAATGCATATATATATATATATATATATATATATATATATATGTACAGGTATGCGGGCCTCTTTACCTGCCGCGCGCACATGACGGATATTTACACGAATGCATTCGTAGAATTTCGCCGGCGGGCGAATTTAGCGGGACATCGTGGAAGAAACATCGTTTCCACAGCACGTAAATGACTGGCATAATAACGGTAATACACGTTGGGCATTATCTGCACGCGCTCGCATTTTGCGGGCAGACAGGTTCCTCCGGTCTCCCGCGATTCCTTCGAGCGGCGAAGCGAGCGCGCGGAGACAAGCCGCGGCGTGGTTTCGTTCGGTTCGGTTCTCGACGTCCGTTGTTGTCCGGGTTTCGCCGCAGCCACGCGATGATGACCCTACGCTTTTCGAGACCCCGAGAGAGACGCGAGAAGAGTATCGAGTCATCTCGCCGCGAAGGCGATACTAATCTCGACGCGGTTATCGAATCCGATACGCAGGCCGGGGCGATTTCAATGAGATCTCATTGTGCGGCAAAACGCTCGCGTCTGATGATGGCGCGATCGCGAATTGCATTCTAGCGTGATGCAGACGCATCAAAGGTGTACTGTTACTCGCGGAGGTGCAACGGACTCGCCGCTATTAGTACGGTAATATCGCAAGGAGAGAAGAGAGAGAGAGAGAGAGAGAGAGAGAGAGAGAGAGAAAGAAAGAGGTCTTGACGTTATTGTCAGGAACATCGCGCGGAGATGCTTTTAAGCGGAAGAATACGGCCCGACATTCCGATGACGCGGGAAGAAACGCGCGTAAAATTTTTAAGTTGTTTGTAGAGAAAGGCATAGAGCATCGTGCATTATGCGAACATTATGAATTATTCTATGATTCTCTCTAAGAGTCGCGCGAGGTGGTCACGCATACTTTGCTTCGTACTTTTTAAACGAGAGGGAAAAAAATGTTAAACTCTATCGTAACGGCATTATTCGTCGATCGCATCTCTCGAGGAAATCTCTCGGGTTTCTCATTTTTTTCCGCCGTTGTGCTTGCGATATCTACGACCGCGATTCAACCGCGTAATTACGATTCCACAGTAATCGATGCACTTTCCCTCGTCAATCAACATGCACTAGTTAACGATTTGTATTGAGACACACGGCTCGATCCGTCGTTCCCCTATTTCGTCACCGTTATAGCCGCGTGCGGTACGCATTCTATTTCTTTTTTTTTCTTTCCCTTATTAATCGTAAACGATATCCCGCACGGCATGACGTAACTAGATATATTGATCGGCGCACCTGTCACAATTCTATCATTATCTGTCATAATGTAAGTTGCGACAACAACTTGTATCATTCGATCACCTACTTCCTACTTCGAACACATTCTAAGTCGATATATATTTTTATTATTTCTTGATTGCTCTTTAGTCTTTCAATTTAATTCGCGTGATAATTTATACATTTTTTATTTAATTATAATTCAATATATCTTGGCACTCCAACATTTTTAACAGTAATAATTTAATATTTTTCAACAAATACGGCGAATTTTTGGGGGGAGACCCTCATTGTGAGCATGATCTTATAATTCTTATCGATTATATACGTTTTACATGCGGATATATAAAAAAATGACTTACCTTCGATTGATCCTGCTGTTGCACCAGTTGCTCCCTGATTAGCTGTAGTTGCAGAATCATTTCCGATAGTCGACGTTCCTTCTCAGCAAAACTGTCGGCGCATAGGACCCTATGAAGGGCCGCTACGCCGTCTTGTTGTACTTGCGCCTCCGTGTTTGCTATCCTTCCGGCATCCGGGGGCGAGAGTGCTACGTTATTTGCCACGGTTGTTGTGACTCCGCTGTAACACATGCAATGGAATCACGGTCAATTTTGTCCCATCAAATAGTAAAGAGAATAAAGAGAGAGAGAGAGAGAGAACGCAAGACATTTATTAGGCATTCTGAAATTGCACTTTCTTAAGCTCTTAAAAAGTGCGATTGTAACACAAAACAAATATGACAAATACAAAAGATTGTGAAAATTAAAAAGTATGTTTTACTAATAAAGTAACTAACAACCAAGTAATTAAAAATTAGTTATCACTCAGATAAATAAATAGAAGCCGGTAGTAGGGCAGAGATTTTTCATTTTAACTAATATATTTTAATTAATAATATCAAAACTGATTTTATGTATATTGAAAGAAATGTTCTCTAATATAAATTGTTGTATAATACAAAAATCCAGAATTTAAAATAGGTATCAATTAGGAATATCCGTTGATATGTGAAAGACGTTTCTGGAACGTCATGTGAAAGAGAAAGAGAGAAAAAGAGATAGCTTCCAGTGTATTAAGTCAGAACCGGATGGTGATGGTCGCGTACGCGATGCTGGAAGCCAGGTGAATAATAGATGAGTCGCGGCCGCGCAATCTCGACAGGGCGAGTGTTTGCGTCCGTGATGGGGTACCCCGATGCCATCAATTCCCCTCTACCCCCTCCTCGTTTCTTCGTCCAGGCCTTCGAGCGCTCGCTCGGAACCGGCCTCGAGCCTCTGTGTCTTTATGTCGGAGAAAATGGTCCGCGAATAAGTGATACAGGCCTATTGTGCGGTGCTTAGGAGACCACAAGTCGAACAAAGACTGCGCGAACGAGGAGGTGGACGAGGGTTGAACCGTGTTGACAACGAGAAAGCCTACGCTGCGAAAAATATAGGCCAGCGTCTTTAGTCCAACGAGCTTCAGCATGATTACTCTCCCGTGGCAAGGGTCAACGATTAAAGTTACATTATGATATACCTGGCATGACATGAAGCAAGTGTTTAAATTCATTCATTTTGAACACTTAACAAATCTCGTATTTTTTTTCTTTCTTTACAACATTCGATTTTTGCACATCATTTAATCAGTATCTTCTGATTTTCAATAAATGTTGCCTTGATTTTTCTAGATTGGAAATTATTTCATCTAGTAGCTAGAGTTGTCGGTATAATAAATTTCCTTCGATGATTAATGTCGTGTATTAAGATAGAAAAATATATATATATAGAATAAAATATTTACTCGGTTTAATTTGCGAGATAATCACAATTAAAACTAAATAAGCCGTGATATTTAAAATTTTTCTGAGCATTTGAAAATCTTTTTTCTCTTCTCTTTTCTCTTCTTGTTCAGTCGACAGCCAGCGAATGCGCGCATCCGGCATCCACGAAAAGCCTTAATTCCGCACGAACTTTCTTTGGCCTGATAATGATGATATAACTGGATGACTTCGCTTGCGTTTAGTGGTTTTGAAAATAAAAAGAGCTTTTCTCCGTTATTATTATCGCACGTTAAGACATTCGAAGGGCTTAATTTCATGCGCGAGCCAAGATAAATGGTCGCCTCATCTCTTTTGTGATTCTCTCTCTCTCTTTCTGCGTACACAACCCGCTTCAATATATGCGAACTAACGTACGCGGGAATGTATGATAAATTGATGGCACATGGATCGTTTAGATAAAGTCAATAAGAATAAAGAGATTTTCGCACCTCGTACCACGCGAGGATACTCACACGTGAGATCTTCATGAGAGACTCGTTCGATTTATAACGCGATACTTTATCAAAACTACGTTGATATCATTAAATATAACTGTCGATAATTAATGCCTACAGTGCAAGAATTAATCGATGCGACCAATTAATTATACGCGATATGTATAAATCATGCACCAAGCTGTCTCTAATTATCTGGTTTTTCTTTCGATTTATTTCAAAATAGAAACATTCTTATTTCATAATCCGAAGCGAATAAGATCCTAGTATATTTAATAATGTATCTGTTTTTTTCTAACGTTGGAAAAAATAATTCTATGCATTTTTTAATACTTCTGTTGGTTATCGGTGCTTTAATAGCATTACGCTATTAAACTAACTGCCGACGAAAGTTTTTACCGACGTCGTCAATCAATCTCTCCGTCTCACCAAAAATACCAGTTTTTATTATGTTCCTCATAGTTCGCCGATCTATAATGCGATGGTTACTCCACGAGTTTTTATCCAATACGAGCTATATTTAGAATAACCGAGAGCTAATGTACATGCTCGATATTTTCGTCCATCCTATAACTCTACTAGCTACTCACTCGTATCTCCGAAAGTAGCTCGTGCGTGCTCATATAATACGATTCGCGCGCGCGATACACGTCAGTGATGCATATACGATGTACGGATTCGAGACGCTTTATGTAACAATGTTGTTACAGTTGTTTGTATGTCCCAAATATGTTGCAAATTTGTACAAATTTAACGTGTATCATCTCGAGCCGTAAATCCTAATTCTCGACATCCGAATTATCTTGGCGAAAAAAGAACTGAGATCGTTAAAGATTCATATTTAGTTCACATTTCTAGATAACTTGATAAAAAATGAGTAAATAAGATATGATATCGAATATTAATTAAGGGTATTCGATATTGTATATATATGTGTGCAGGTATATTATACGCGGATACAATTATGTGTCATGACAACAACATTGTGATTAGTGGACGTATATTTTTAAATCATTCGTGTTATTTCGATGTACGCGAAGTTAGATTGAACATGCTCCAAAAAGAAGGTGAACGTCAACGTAAGTGCACGTTGTACTGTTGGCTGAATTTTTGAAGAATTCTTGGCCCGCCGTTCTTCAGCTTGGTGTGGGCAGCCGACTGGCACAGTTCTTATGCTACCGCTTTTCCACGTTGCCAAGTTCACCCGTTTGCTTTCAATGACTCCGTGTCAACATAAGGCGCATCGCGCTGCATATTATCTAGCTCAATATTTTTCGCAGAGGGAGGGATACTGCTGTTCTATTGTTATTTACTCCACATGTAATTTTGCCAGGATATTATTTCACACGAACCTGCTGCTGTCGTAATAGCGGACTGCACATATGTAAAATACTTATTCCGCGTGAAATAATGACAGTTCTGCGATCGAGGAAAAATACAGTTGGAAGTTTACAATATGTAGTCGCGATTATGTCATAAGCAATGCGTATTCAGAGCGCTTCATTAAATGCTAATTCTAAATTGACTCTATAATGTACAATATATGCATCCGCAATATAATAATATTGCGGGATAATATGTAAATGTAAAAATATGTAACTTTATAATAGCACTATCATAGTGCTATCATGCCATCTTTATGACGCACATAAGGATCGCAATTAGTCATTCATGCGCTCTGCATTTTCGACTTTGTACACTGTGTGTGATTGTAATAGAAAAACTAAAAAGAACTAAATAGAAAAAAAATCGCCTGATATTATAACTCGACATGACGAGTCACTGATTATATAGAGCGATTATTATTAGTAGAAAAATGATCGTTTGAAATGCAAAATACGTACGCTCCCGCGTATATGCTGCAGATTTTTCCAAGATAATCGGTACAATATTTAAGTAATTATTGTAAAATCGCCGATAAAAAATATATCATACATATGCATATATTGCAAATGACGCAAGTAATTAATTGTCCATGAATTGCAAAAATATTGAATTGGAAGCATATGCACAAAACGAAATCGAAAATGTCTTTTTATTTTTTCTTTGCTGATAATAATATCGTTTTGTGGTACATTATCGCCAATAGTATATTGATTTTTGTTCTTGGGTTACTGGTCATTGTCAACTGAATATATGGTAATGAGATCAATTTCAAGAGACCGCTAAATTGGTCTTATGGTTTTAGGACAATAGTCCCTTTTAGAACCCGCCCGATCGTTAGTTGCATGTTAACCGTATTCGAGATACCAGGCCTTGAGAATGTTGAAACAAGAAACGACACAGTCTTTTCTTTCAGAAAACAAAATTATAGCTGCCGCCCTAATTTCCGGCGATAATATCGTGCGATAGAGAAGAATGTGAGATATCACATTGTAAATTATGTTCGAAGAATAGTTGAAATTACACTATGAAACTATTCGATGAAACTATCCGAGATCTGAAACTATCCGATGAAACCATCCGAGATCTGAACAAAATCAGAGATCATATCGAGGCGAACATTGTTGGACAGGACGGATTAGAACACGCGTTAATTGCTCAAAAACTCTCGATTCTGAATAACTATAATTAAATTTCGATATTATGTGAATTTGTATGAATTTATATTTCAATAATTATACTGAAGAAGACCGCGTGCGGTCGAAACGTTTATAGAATGATTGTAATTTACGTTAGTTTTAATATAATGACTGTAGTTTCATAATTTATACATGTAATAAATGGTAGTTGACTGAACATCTCGAATATTCAGCTCGATAAGTTGGCCTTATTTTTATCACTTTGTTTTCAATTCTTTTTGTTAAAATTAATTATATTTTAATAAATATGCATTCTTCGATTATATAATCAATAGCAATTAAGTTGGTCGCAAGTAAAAATTGTAGCTTGTAACAAAATTGCAAAAAGTCACATCCGCCTTTGGGATTTGCCATTATATTATATTAATCAGTTATGTAAAGTGGGAGAGATACGATAACCTCGGCGACACGGTGGCGCATTATGATATTGCAACAGAGTAGTGCACTGTTACAATGTCGATCAAACAAGTAACGAATATAATTAATATGGCATACAAGTTGCGTAAGAGACGCTTATCAAGATACGTCTTATGAATGTGCACTAATCGTTGAAGACTAAACGACCGGGAAAATAGGAAGAAACAGAGTAAGCTGTTCTCATTTCTTATCATGCAGCGGACATTTCTTGACTGTTTTAATAGAAATTAGACCAATGTTAAATCGAATAGTAAGGGTCGCGAGTCGTAAAACAATTGGGGATATTTCTTTGACAAATGACAAAGATCTGATGTTAATACCGAAAATTCCAATAATTTAAGAATAGAAGCAATTTTCTTGTGTATTCATTAGAATATATAAGTGAGAAAGAAAAAAAAATATATAAATATATATATATATTTTTTTTTTTTTTAAACGTGCAGTAAAGTCAACAGTTATGCAGCGTATAACGAAACATCTAAATAGATTGTTGTATAAAATAGAAGAGCTATTGTCTTTCTTCCTTCATTATATTGCTTAAAGCAGTGCGATAAAAAAGTTTCTGAAATTGTCTCATTTGGACAATTAAAAATCAGGGTGAAATAAAAATGTGTAATTTTGCTTTAGTCCTCCATCTCAGTATACAATATCAATTGAATGAACTAACCTATGTGCATTATGGCCAGTTGGTGTCGAGGAGAGCGGCGGTGACGTCCGCCTGGTATTAGTGGTATCGTCCTGGATAGACAGGGACTCACTGTTCATCTTGCACGTTAACCTTTTGAGAACGTCGTCCATGGATCTCTTGCTGCCCGCGGCGGCGGTGGCGCTGCCGTTATTGTTGTTGTTATTATTTTGGGTGACGGTATTGTTGTTGTTGTTGTGATGAGGGTGATGGGGGTAGTAAGAGTCCACGGAAAGGAGGGTAGGCGGCGAGCCGCACTCTGAGGAACTCGCCGGTTCCAATGCACCGCCCGACGATGACGACGTGTTTGTGTGGTGATGGTGATGATGGTGGTGGTGATGGTGATGATGGGGATGATGGTACGGCGCGAGGGTGTCCTGGTTCGACAGGAACAGCAGCCTCTGCCGTTTCGGCGTCCGTAGGGAATTCAACGAGGGCGACGGCGAGTCGCGCAAATCCGGCTCGCTGGTGGTCGCCGGCGACGAACAGCCGGACGACTCGCACTCGCCGACTCTCTGATGGGAGTAGCACTCCTCGATGTCGACGGGGGTGGCGGCACCTTCCTCACCGACGGTTGCCTCACCACCGGAACCGGCCACCGGCGAGGTCGTGTCTTCCTCCTCTTCGTTAGCGCCTGCCACTGTACCCGTACCGCCCCCGCCCTCCGATAGCTTCGTTGGTGGCGACTTCCTCTTTGAGGACATCCTCAGTCTGCAACACAAGCGAGAGACTGCTGAGTTTTTCTAGTTTTTTTTCTTTTCGTAGCGCGAACAGCCGCTGCTTGATTGCGGTGTATACTAGGAAGTAAGGGCGGGGGAAGATTATTAGCGTGTTGAAAAACACCCTCTTACTACGTATTATAGAAATAATTGTCTAAAATGTCGGATTTCATTTATCGAGCATATGGTTCGTTGCAATTTATCGGTATTTGTTTCATTGGTAGTAGGGTGAAAAGAATATAGTATGGAATAAACTTCAACATCTTCAGGTGGAAGACCAAAACGATACAGAGAAGAGACGCTGCTCCTTACGTCATTTGAACGTCCCCGGCGGGCGCGACCGTCTAAACTATCTGCCATCTGGCGCGGAGTTAATTTAGACACGGACTATCCCAAGTTCGTCCATTCATTTCCGTCTACAAATTACCAAATCTAAATCTAAATCGCGCGATCGACCGATCGTCTGCCGGCGACTCGGCGGCAACGTCGTCGTTCAAAGATATCAGCGGACGGATAAATCGAGGAATGACAGTTACATAATCGGGCGCGAGGCGTAATAATGAGGCGCAATTATCGGGCGGGAATTATTGTTGCGCTCGCTCTGTCGTGTCGCAACGCATCTTTCCATTAATCGAACCCGAAATTTCATTAATCGACTGACCGAAAACGCGCGAGAGACACGACGAATGGATCGAAAAAAAGAAAAAGAGAGAGAGAAAAAGGGTGAGAAAGAGAGAAAGCTACGTTGGTTGTGATTATCTTCCACTGGCGAACGCGAGCGAGGTTGCGAGGTCAGGAACGAGTGCGGTTTCGTTGATCGGCGCTCAATGAAAAGTGAGAGAACCTTAACCGCATTTCGGGCGGCACACGGACTCAGCTTCTGCGAAAGCTTTTCATTTCTTTGGCGAAAGTAATTTGTTTTGATGAGAAGAACCTAACACCTTTGAATCCCTGATTAACGAGTTTCTCGTCAAACATTTTCTTTTCAAAATTGTATTTTAATTATCACATTTCGTAGTACGAAATGTCATGTTGAACAAATGTTGTAAAATTTGTTTTAACGTTGTTTATTTAAAACAATCGAGCATTTGATTCGAGAACGCGTCGATGATATCTCTTATTAATGCGCCTAATCTGTATTTTTGAGCTGTACGATTGATGTGCAAAGGGAAAGATATTACGTATACATATATATAGGTATACTTAGTATATGTATACGTCAGTGATAATGACTTTTAGACATAAACGACTTTTCAAGCCGAGGAAACGCGCTTTATATGTCACTTTCGCGTTCAAAATCGTCTCGTGATGTGTATAATTACAGGGAGAGATTTATTACTGCACGTTACGCGGACATTTGTTAGTCACATAATGGAAAACGATTTACGATGCTGAGAATGCCGCATGCATCTTCTCGGATATAATATATCATAAAGTTATGAAATATATAATGAGAGATACCGCGGCTGTCATCGACCATCGCTTTAGACGCTGCTGTAACTGTATCTCGGAGATAAAGATAATATTTATGCGATGCGTTATGCGTATAAAGATCTACGTGATCGTCCCCCACACGCAATACATACCATGGTATAGATTAATCGATCGATTAATCCTTCAAGAGGAACATTAAATATAAATTTCATTTGTGATTATATACGTAATTTAGATTAATTCATCCCGCTTAATCTCCTGAAATCAACTTAATGTGTCTTGAATAAGAATATTAATATTTTTAATCAATGATATTATATAAAAAAGTATCAGAAAATTTTAAACTGAATTTCACGGAATTGTTTTGCTAACTGAATTAAAAGCCGAGTTCATTTTTCCAGGAATCTGTTTATGATAAAGATAATATTTGTGGAAATAAAGGAATAATATTTATATGCTATGTGTGTGTGGGTTTATGTTGCATTTGAGGCGCTTGAGGATCTACGCATAATTTCTAATTGCGTATAAAATATACGTACAATTTTATCCCAGAAAGTTTTAATAATTTCTTATTAATATATTTTTTGTAACATCTAATTATATATACACAAATCTTTTTAAAATTACATTTTGTCAAGAAAATATTTGCATAAATTAATGTTACACGTATAAAATAAAAATTAACATCTCATCGTAAAAGAAGGTGCGTTGTTATCCTTAATTTTCGCTTTGAGAAAATCAGAATTATAATATCGGTATCCTTCTCTCTTTCTGGTCGTGTTTGATATGCGTTATCGCAGTCTATTATGCAAATCGCGTATGCAGAAAAAAAAATATGGTGGGGGACGCCGCGATAATGTGGGAGGACGCATAAAGCGCGGCTCGTAGTACAATGTACGCTATAATGGCCGTAATAATGTAACGTGCACGCACGCCTTCGAGTGCATTTTTTTGCGACGCGCAAACTCGCGCGATATACGTTCCGCGCGCGCTGGGATTGTGTAAGCACGTGCGGTCGCGCTCGATGCACATGCACACGTGCACTCGCGCGAATCGCGAGTCACGGCGGATCGAGGCTCGTCGAGGACCACGTGCTGCGGTCTGCTACGAGCGCACGTGTCCTCAACGTGTGTCTCCGATACGGCGTGACGATGATAACGAACGTAAGATCGATTCGCGATTTTAACGAATTTTCTCTGGGAAATTGATTAATCGTTTTACAATCAATCAACAATTTTCATCTCTTGCCGCGGATGATCTCGTAGATGAGATAAAATTGGAGAACACTTACTTCTCTTCTGCAGAATGTTTGAGAATTTCATATAAAAAAAATTTGTATTTATTTATTCTTCGTCACGGTACAAAAAGAGCTGAAAACGGGAAAAGAGAGTTATTTTCTTTCCAAAGAGAAAATACTCAATGTTTTGATTAAAAAAAAAAACAAATTTTATAATTATAACATCTTTGAAGATACGAGCTTAAAGAATAGAGGCAAGGGAAAAACAGGATAGATATTCTGACGCTTTTACAATCTTTTCAAAAATGAACTAAAATTTGGCAAGGCTTGCTAAAATAAGCTGGACGCATACTTAGGAAAGATATATATGTTTAACTGCGTACGCTAGATAGCAATCTCATAAGTCAGGATTGTCAATCGTGGCAATCAGTGAGTGTACAACAAACGTCCAATCGGGCGCGAAGAAATTTCGCCGGCAAAGTCCATTGCTCTTGCTCTCTGTACATTTCTCTCTGTCTTCCTTTGTCGCTCTCTCTTTTCTCGCGAGAACGTATACCACCGGGTTTATAGCGCCGCTTTTCTATTTCTATTGTCTACGTCTCGACATTATACGCGTCCACACGTACATGTATACACGTACACTCGCCGTGCTCTCGGTACGCGAAGTATTTCTGTCTCTAGACTTCCCGCCCGGCATAATTACTTCGCGAAGCGCACAGATTCGCGATTATAGCCTCGCTTACTGAGACAACCGAACAAAAAGCGCGCGCGCCTGCGGCACGGAAGAAATATTTTTAACTACCAGATGCCACCATGTCCGGCCGACTGAAATCACAGACGAGGATAGCGAAAGATCATCAACGCCGGTGACAGTGCAGGAACGCGCGGGTGTTGATGGGTTCCCTTCCTGCGAATAACACGTGTCTCGAATCATCCACTAATTGTATGATAAAAAAATTATATATATATATATATATATATATATATATGTATATATACAGCCAGAAGGAAATATCCATCTGTAGCGAGATTGAAAAAAATTGCACGCGGTCAAAAATACAGTTTAAAGTTCGCGTACAAACACACAAGACGATCTCGTGTATTATATTCGATAACGGATTGACAATGTTGACCGTCGATCTCGATAGCACGCGAACGCGTTATGAACGCGACGAGATAAATCGACAACACCGAGAGTCTTTCTCCCGCGGGATACTGTAAATGTATATAAGTATTTGCGCGCACCCACGCAATATCCAGTTCATTCAGTTATTGATTCATTAAGTTCATAAGATAAGTAATTACGTAAAGCACAATTTTTGCCTTCTCTTCTATGCGCTCGCGCACTGCAGCAATTTTCCGCTGTGCGTGTCGTGATTACTGTAAATCGCTGATAATCGTTGACGAGTCTTTTCGAATCGAGCTTCAATTAAATTCTAATACATCACGCGTTCTACTATCGCGAAAAATTGCTGATAAGGTCAGTGGATCGAAAACTTTGTTAGGCAGCGCGCAATACGATACTATATATACTTATCCACATAAATTCATATCTCTCATATGTAAGACAGTTTCATATTTTCTCTTTACAAAAAAAAAATATACATAATGTTACGCGCTGCGAATGTAATACGTAATAAGAATGTAACGTAAAGAGAAAATATTATGTAACTTCATATGATGATACGATAATAAACGTGATATATTGAAATGTAATTAAGGAACCTAATAATAATCTCATTGAAATTCAATTTCAGAAAACTCGTCGATTAGAATTATCAATGATTTGCAAAAATTGACAACCATCTACTAATTAAATCTACTATTAAATCATATACGCGCCGCGTCACATTTTTTATGTATAGACGATTTAATAGCGCTGTAATTAATTCAAGGAGGATTATCATGTGCAAGTCGTAAAATTACGACATTCTAGGTATATAGTAAACTCATCGAAGAGCTCGACACAATTATCTGTGCCTGTATGCCACATATTAGCTCCGATTCTCGCCATACTTCGCTTATCGAGAAACGTCGAATATCCCAGTTATTATGTTTATTCCGCAGATAAAATATCATTGAAACCAATGTTATGACTATATTTAAAATTACGTCTTTGTATCATGACATACAAAATGTCTCTAATTCGCGAACGCTTACTTTTATATAAAAAAATTTATTTACTTATATTTTTTTCTTTAAGAAAATAATTCATACGCAAAAATTACAGAGTAATTAATTTACGACAGGGGCCTGATCCGAGATAAAAAAATTGACGATTATGTTCTTTCGGTTTCTTTTTTTTTCACGGATCGTGATCG